TATTCAGGTGAAAATCTACCTTAATCTAAAAGCAAAAGAATTCTATGAACAGGCTTCCCGCTGAGAAACATCAACATCAAAAAATTATTTGGTTATTTGTCAAAATAAATAAAAAATAAATTTGGTTCAAGGATATTAGACAGTTCCTATTGGTTGAGATGTGAGGTGAGCACTGTTGGAGCTATTGGGTTATATCAAAATAAAATAAAAAGTAAATTTTTGTTAAACGCATTAGTTTGGTCGAGTCAGCAACTTTTGTGATGAGCAATTTCTATTGGCCTAAAGAAGAGGTGGGCAGAGTTGAAATGACATGCTGCCAATTAAATCAAGTCTATGCTTATCTAGATTTACTCCCATTGGTGGATTTGGGTGGTGTACACAATGGTGAGATTCAATGTATCTCATTCCCAGCATTCTATTCAAAGATATTTTTGTGAGAGTTTCCTAAAAAACGATCATGAGTGTGGGTCATTTCCAGTGTATGCCCATTTACATCTATAAAAGCAGCGTCAGGTTCACTTGGACCACGATAGATCATTCTGCTTCTTCCCTTTCTCTTTCCTGTCCAGCTTTTTAAGTTTCAAATCTGCAAATAGCAAGAATATTATGCCAATATATGTTTATGTGTGTATCATGAAACATACAAAAACATAAGTATGTGTACATTTATAGAAAAGAAATGCATATGTTGTGGATGCATTAACAATGGTTAGTGTGTGTATTGTTGATAAATAAAAAATTAGTTCTATCTCAATAGAGTTTATAGTTAAATCGTGTTTTTGTTTATGATTAAATGCATCTAACACTTATTGTATAATTTAAGACTACAGATTTCTTGAAACAAGTCTTCAATACAAGTTTCATCAAAGATATCATATAGATGCACAATCCCTGCGTAAGTACATATGTGAATAGATATATGATGCAACCATGGTGTATGTAATATACTTCGTATATACTTTCAGTAATACTAAAGTGATGCTCCAGGAAGTTCTTTGTTTACTATGGAAAATTTGTGCAAAAGTTCTTTAATGTTTATATATTAAAACTCCTCCATATCATATAATGGTTCCCGGCCCTTTCAGTAACAGACTAACGGGTAGAGCTCATATGTTGCAGGAAACATGGCATATGGAGTTCTAATCAAATTAGTGTTTCTACCATTTTGGACTTCCAGAATTGATAATTAGATGTAATCATGCCTCTTAAAAAGCGTTTGCACTAATCTTTTTTTTTTCTACGTACTCTGTATAGTTATATCAATAATGTGTGTGTGATGTCAAGTAGGTTAGTTTTGGATATTAAAATGTCAAGTATATTTATGGATATTTGTAAACACAAGAATCAGTACAAATACCCTATTTCATTAATAAATTAATTAATGAAGTATGTAAAAACACTAAAATTGCATTAACTTAATGAAATGCCTAGCAAACACGATTGGAAAGGTGTGTCATTTTCCCATGAATTCTTAAATAGTTAAATTATCTCTAAGTTTTTGCTTCAGAGTAGTAGTTCATCAAAATATTGGGTGTTGTGTGGAAGACTGTATTTATTTTGGCCAGCACTTGAGGTATATATTCCCTTAACCAATGTATTTTGTATTCGATTGGTGTTTAGATTTGAGAAATAATTTATGAGTCAAAATAAAAAGATTCAAGGAATAATTTATAAGTTTTAGATTAAGGATAATACTTCAAGATATGCTTAGTTTGAAATGCAGAACTATGAAAAGTGTTTTTGAGAGCTCTTGAAAGAACTGATGCAGTGAAAAAAACAATGGTGTTTTTTCCCTACACGCAGTTCAATGAAAAAAACAATTTATGCAATGAATAACTCTACTTGAAAGAAATGGTGTTTCAGTAATGAAAAAAACAAATTGTGCAGTTCAATGCAGACCTACACGAAGATGTCGGAAATCAAAATCAAATTACACGGAAAGAAATCACAGAAAGTAGGCTTAGCTTCAAGCGTCCACAAATCAGGTGGTCAACCAACGATCTGCTCAGACAGAACTCCTGTTGGAGATCCCTCAATCATCAACAGTTATGCAAAACCCGGTCCAGTGATGAACCTACAAGCAACATCGAACACTCAACAAAACATGGAAATGCGAGAACACAACACAAATTAAACTCACACGGAGTCACCTTTACATAATCTGAGGCCTCAAAGAACCAAAACAATACCTGCGACCCGAAGTCCCAAACGCGAACCACCTCAGCGAACAACTTCATGAATGCGCAGCAAAGGAAACCTCCAAATCAGACAGGTTGTAGAGATCGGCGAGCAAGGACGGACAGAAGCGTTGGATCGCGAATCTTCGACGCACAGCTCTCAACCCTCTCCCCTTCTCTCTCTCGAACAACTAGAATGATGATGGACCAGTATTCTTTGGCTTTTTTCATTTTGTTCTTGGCCGCAGCTGGCCCATTCTTTATTTTAAATTGGGACTAGGCTTTAAGTCCACTCCAAGCTTATGTTGTATACTAATCCGTATTTAATAATCTATTACAAAAGATTTATTAATTTATTATAAATAATTTGCTTCCAATTAGTATATATAAACCTTATAAAATGGAAAAAAAAAATTGTTCATCACGCAGGTGAATTTCTAGCACAAAATTTTATTAGAAGGAAAGACTTTGATAGGGGTTAGTGCAAGACAAAAGCATTCCTTAACACTTCATTTTTTGTATTTCAAATTTAACTAAAATTAAATACACTCAATAAAAATTTTCAACCGCGCATCGCACAGGTTAGCATATGAACTGTAATATTGTCTCTAAAAGGGGCGGGTTGAGCTTCGATTCTCCCTGTCAACCTCGAGAATGGGTTTATGTTCTGGGCGTTGGTTGAATTATATATTAGCCGTGTGCGATGAAGAAAATTAGCCACCATGCTGCAAATATGTGAAATAGAACGTATAATTTCAATGAGGAAGGAGATGGACCGTGAATGTTGTGGCTGAGCGGAGTACAAAGAGGCGGTCGATCAAATATAGCAATATGTTCCCTCTGTATTAATTGAATAATAATGGGGGTGGCGGTCGATTGTAATTTTGTGCTCTAGGCCTAAAACTTTCATTATATCCTCTATTGGGCTTTAATATTATGGGCCAGTATTCAAATGTGATCTTCAGCACAATACTACAAATATAATAACATTGGGTGATATTAGTTGTTTTTATGGTGGCTGCTAAACATGTTTATTACTCTTTCATAAATGTGGGGGTGTGATTTTTTAATAATCTATTTTAATGCCCTTGCAAAAATAATTATTTTAATGCCTTTCAAGAAAAACAAATTTATTTTAATGCCATTTTGTCTATTTGTTCTTTTTAAATAAGGTGTGTAATTTATTTTTTTGTGCATTTGAAAAATTATATTTCATCTGTATTTTAAAGTTTGCTACAATTTCTTATTTAATATGTATTTAAAAGTTTTTAAAGTTTTTTCTTTAAAAATACTAAGTTACCCTTAGTTTTTCTATTTTTTATTTTCTACTTTTCCAGATTCTCTCCTACTTAATTTACACTATGCATCACCCTTATTATTTTCTCATTAGATATTGTGTCAAAACTTAATGTGGTGATCTTTTAAATGAGGGGGTGTGACTTTTTGGGGTTATATTTGTGTAATGGGCTTTTTAACGTTTAGTCTTGAATGTATAGCTTAAACTCTCATGTACTTTTACCAATTTTTGTTAACTACTCCGTACAAAATTTTAAAATGCATTTTAATTGTAATTAACCTCAATCAGTAATACATTTGACATAATATCATTATTGGTCTGGGTTCTGGATGATGGCGTTAAGGATGGGACCTGTCCGGTCTCTAATGGTTTTTCGATGATATCAAAAATCTGAGATCGAAAAAAATTCATTTACATTTAGTTCGAGTCTGCTTTCGTTAGATCGGATTCGGTCTAGGATCGAATAGAGCTGGTTAAGGACCAATTGAAGAATTATCATATTTGAGTATTGTTTAATAATGTCATAACACACTTACACATATTTGCACACCCCCTGATTTGCCAATTTACCCCCGCAATTCGTGTAAAAAATGCAATTCGTATAAATGCATAATCATCATATTACTTGAGATGTTTATACTTAGACTTATTTCAGTCTCAAACCAAACCAAACTTAAACAAACCAGACCTGATCATGCTTGGATATTAGAAATAGTAGAAGCGCCTATTTGAACATTTTCCCACAAATTTAGATTCAAGTATAATTCAAGAATGACATAACACACTTTCACATATTTTACTCTCTTATTTTACCTATTTGGAGAGACAATTCGTCTAAAAATGCAATTCGTGTAAATTTATAGTCACGTTATTACTTAGTCATTATAGATAATTTACCTTCAATTAATTTATATAAGCCTTTGATTTTCGGCAGGTGTTGCCGGTGATACCTAATGGGAGTAGACAACATGTAGTCAATGCGACGATTAATTCATCATATATGTGGTCGGAACAAGACTAATCCATCATATTCTTGCGATTTGAAGGTCTTTACAAATTGGATTGCCAACATTGGTGACGGTGTTGCGGGTGAAAGTAATGATGGTCATGTTCATATTATTCCTGAAGATCTATTGATACGCACAGATGGAGATCCTATAGCTGCGAATGTTGAAAGCATATTTCCGGAATATGTTGAATCTGCAGGTGATATGAGTTGTTTGCGCAACTGTGCAATTTAGGCACAGACACTGGCTGTGGTAGAATCTACCTTAGAAACACTGACCGTGCATGAATCCTTCTAATTGTTGATAAATATGAAGGAAACACTGACAAGCCTCAGAATGTTGTATTCAAATAAGTGTCTAACAATGTTTAGATTTACATTAAATGCATATTTATAATATTATGGTTTCAACGTTTTTGTTGGATATTTTTTATCTTTTAAGTAATGCTTAGTACCATGAGTTTGACCATATTGTTATAAGTGTGTTTTGTTTAAGACTTTGATGTATATGAGCATTACATGAAGATATATGTTGTCATCAATTGAATGTGATTGAAATTACTAAGCACAAATAAATTTGAAAAAACATCTCAAACCGTGCATCGCACGGGTGAGTTTACTAGTATGGTAAAATGTAATAGAAAAAGATAATATATGTTCGGTGTTTACTTGGTGTACTTAAAACCATACACACAAAAGAACAAATAGAACATTACTTACATCTCACACCAACAACAAATTGCTATCATCTACCACCACTCAATCCCATAGAAATCAATTCCATGCTTTCTACACCAGTTATTTTATTAGTACTGGTTAGTGAATCTCCAATATTAACCGCATGAGAAGCAACACCCGTCGATTTCAGAAGATATTCCGTCTCTTCCGAAGACATTTCACTTTCCCCCCATGGGTGCCTCTCAAGAATTCTCAATCCCTCTATCTCCATTGCCACTTCTTTCATAGTCGGTCTATCCTCTCTCCTCACCTTTAAACACTGTCTCGCAATCTTCGCAACTTCCATAAATTTCTCAAAGTTCACTTCGTTAACTATCCGATTATCAATAATTTGAGATAATCGTCCATTGTTCAGAGATGAAACAAAATAAGCTGATAGATTCCTGTCTTCCTCTGGCCTAGCGAATGAAATTGCTCTTTGTCCAGTTAATAGCTCTGCGAGAACCACCCCAAAACTATAAACGTCACTTTTATCTGTCAATTGACCCGTGTGGAAATACTCTGGGTCTAGATATCCAAATGTTCCCTGCACTAAAGTTGTGATTTGGGTTCGATCGAGAGGGACAAGCCGTGAAGCTCCAAAATCAGCTACTTTTGCGGTAAGCCTTTGATCTAGTAGTATATTGGCTGTCTTTACATCTCTGTGAATTATTGGGGGAGAAGCAGCGGAGTGTAAATATGAGAGGGCTCCTGCAGATTCTGATGCCACTCTTAAACGGGTTGCCCATGAAAGATACGATGATTGGTCTTGTTTATGGAGATGATCGTAGAGATTGCCATTAGTTATGAACTCATAGACTAGTAACGGAACTTCTGTCTCTAAACAACAACCAAAAAGCTTGACGACATTTCTATGGTTAATTTGGGAGAGAATGACGACCTCATTGATGAACTGTTCAACTTGACTTTTGTCACAAATCTTGGATTTTTTTATGGCTACCACTTCTTTATCCTCTAATACTCCTTTGTAAACTGTTCCATATCCTCCTTGGCCTAGGATCATCTTTTCATCAAAATTGTTGGTGGCTTTCTTAAGATCTTCCAATGTGAAGATTTTCATTCTTGTATCAGTTGGTCCCCTATTTCCTGCTATTTGTTGTTGTAACAATATGCCACCGTTTTGATGAAAAAATTGCTCTCTTAGTCTAGAAAGTCTCCTTTTCCTCGACCCCCAATATATGTAGAAGCTTACTATAAGCAAAGCTGTGACACCAATACTCAAACCTGTCCACCATAAGTTGAAGCATAATAATAGGTATGTAGCCTTCTTTTAAAGTTACAAAACTTTTGAGCACAAAAATTAAGAAAGTGAAAAAAAAACCCTAAACTATCCCCTCTTTCACTATAGTAGTAAAAAACATGTAAAGTTGAAATAATAAAGTTGTAACTTCAAGTATAAGAGTAAAGTATGAAGTGCGTGTGTGTAGGATCATTTGGCAAAAAGGAAACATATATAAACTTTTTTTCGAGATGGAGAGAGTAGTATACTTCACTGTACTTATATTTGTGCCCATTTGACTTGACACACACTTTCAGCAACTAGATACGAAGTATAGTATACTGTTAAGATTTGATGAGAAATGAGAAAAAATTGTTTCCGACTAAGTGTTGTGCTTCTTGTGGCCATACACATTTTGCTCGATTCAATCTCAAAGATTAACATTTTAAAAGTAATGTATCTATAGTATAGTACTCGTATATAAAATATTTTAATGAATAAAGACTAGCTATTTTAGTATTTTTAATTTAAGAAAGTATAAACATTACTCCGTATATGATTATATAGCTGAGAAGCGTTTATTGATTAAACTTGTGCATAATTCTCACTATATAAAGTCTAACAATTTTTTATAATTACTCAAAATATTCTTTGCATGGAGAACTATATAGAGAATGTTATGAAGGAATAGTTCATTTGTTTCTGTCAACTCTTGGAAATCATTATTGAATTGATTTTAACATCTCTAATATTTTGGCTTGCTTTTATTTAAAAGAATAGCGCTAGAAAAGTTATTTTTCAAAAGCTCATAGCAAAAAAAAAGAGAGATCACTTACTCAAACCAATTATTAGCAAGGTATTATTGCCATTAGATTTGCGCTTACAACCCGTTCCTTGTTTCTTGCCATCTCCTTCGTATTCATTTGGGCACGTACAAGTATAGTTACCAGGACTGTCTTTGCATTTTGCTTCTTTAACGCAAGGGTAATTAGTCGATTCTTCAATGCATTCATCTATATCTGTAAGAAATGGAGCATTAACAACAACATGACAATAAGGGAAGAACATACTTCTACACCACCCAAAATTTTCCTTTTTTGTGTAGATTAAAAGCAAGTTTGATAACTCTTATTTTCATCTAATCATCTTTACCAATTGATCAAGCACACACTTTTGATTTTGTGTGACGAATCATATAATAATCAAAACTGATAACATTGATGTTACTTTTCTAACTACATTGATCGAAATTGTTTAGAATGACCTTTAAACTAGTTTTCATATGGAATAATTTTTTTTCATTATTTTATTGATAAATGTATTTTAATTAGGGTTTTTTACAAGAATATTATTAAAGTAAAACATATTTACATAAATATGACAATTCATTACTACAATGTGGTGTTGTGGTAACTTAAGCTCAAAACTTGAACATGAATTACTATGATTTCATTACTACTCTAGTCACTTGTCATATTTTTGTAAATCATCTTTATTTTGGTCATATTTATGTTATTATTTCTTTTAATTATATATATTTTTTCATAATTTGATCGATATCAATAGATTTAGCATATTTCAGTATTATGAAAGAGTTCTAACCAATAATTAGGGGTGAACGAAAAATCGAAAAACTGAAACCGACCGACAAACCGACCAAAACCGAACTAACCAAAATCTAAACCAACTCATACCGAAGCCGACAAAAACCATTAATCATTGGCGGTCCGATTTACGGTTAACCTTTTGGGTTAAAAAACCGACCGACAAAACCATGCTTCAAATCAATTGAAACCGACCGAAGTTAACCGAACCGAAACCGATTCGAAGTAGTGTGGTTCGGTTTCAACTTTTCCAAAGCTGAAATTGATAAAACCAAAATCGACAAAACCGAACCGACTAATACTCATACAGACAACAATCAATAATAATGGAGTAAAGAGGACCTACTCTGGCAACCAATAGGGAGGTATGGATTCCCGCCATAGCCGTCTATGCATTTACAATTGTACCCAGACATGAATTCCGTCTCTACACACACCGTATTTGAGCCGCAAACATATCCATCTTCCTTAGCAGCACTTTCACATGTCTGGTTCTCATTCCCGGCGGCCCAATTTATCATCAAAGGCGTCGAATTGAACCTCACATTCGTAATATCATCCGCACTGAAGTTATACCCACCGTTTTTCGCCACAAAAGAATAGCTGCAGTTGTTGAATTTCCACACATTTTCGTCGAATCCGAAACTATATGCATCGACCTGGAGGTCCCTCATCCCGACCGCCGGAATCCCAATCTGGCAGCACCCAAACCCAGAGCACTTCCCGGCGTCCTTCTTTTCCGGCGCTCTGTTACACTTCGATATGCACGCAGTCGAGAACTGATTGTCTCCCTTGTAGCTGTTGAAATACCCATAGGTGTTGCAGCCGACGGTGAAGAACATGTTTGAGTCGCTGGAGACGGTGAAGGAATCCGGGACGCCGAGCCACGGCTGCTCGTCGATGATGACTCCACCGGATTCGTTGAAGCAGTTCCGGGATATGGGCATCAGGACTTCCATCTGCCCTTTCAGGTAATCAATGGCGGTGATTTGGGATTGGGAATTCTGGGTTTGAGAGTTATGGGATTGGGTCGTCCATAGCTTTGAGTCCTGGTCGCAGGACAGATTGAATCCTCTGTTCAAAAAACAGTTTTTCCCGATGCCGAATGGGTAGTGTATGTCCACGCCGCCGCACTTGTCGGGGCAGCCGGGCTTGGCCATGGTCGCCGCCGTCGCGGTGGCGAATCCAATCGCGAGCAGAGCTGCTATTGCTAGCTTCATTTGCATCTTCTCCTTTTTTGTGAAGTTTCTGATTGTATGGTCATGATTGTGGAATGAGGATATTTTAAGGTAGCTAGTTTTGGTGCGAGACCTGGAGTTGAACTTTGATTTGGTCAGCGGTGTGGTTCCATCTACACATAGGACTACTAGTCCTGGTGAATTTATTTCCAGGAAGTTGAGGCTTTACACTTTTCTTCTGCTTCTAGTCAAGCTGCTGCTGGGTCGTAGTGTGGAAATTTCTGTTTACAGTTCAGTTCGATTTAAATGATGCCTTAAAAGTTTAGTTTGACTTGTTCTATGTCGGTATGGTTCAGGTTAATTGTGTTTGGATTGTGGTGCAATCGAGCCCAAATTTAATACTCCTTCCCAAAAATTCGCCAAATTTGGCCAATGATATTTTCTAACATAAAATATTTTGAATATAAAAATTATATCAAAATGTTACTTTTTCAAAATATTTTCATTCAAGTATAAAATATATAGATTATATACAAATATAATAACTAAAATCATTTTCCAAAATTTACTTACATTTATTTTTAGGTTTAACTCGAACCACAAATTTTTATATATTTTGAAGGCATTTAATATATAATAATGCAGATGAAAGAAAATTAACTCGAATCACAAATTCTTTACTTAAAAAGGAAAGTGACAAAGTTAATGGGACATCCAAAAAAAAGTTGACAAAGTTATAAGGGACAGAGAGAGTATTTCATTTCTCCCTAACCTAAGATAATTATTCAAAAAAATGTTGGTGACTTTCTTATGTTATTTTAATGTGAAGATTTTGAGGCTAGTATTATTTGGTCTACCGTTTCCTGTTGGAAAAAGTGTCAATAAAATGCATTAAAATGGTCATTTTAGGGCAGTATTTTGAGTGAGGTTCACTTTCTATTTGGGTCAGGTCAAAGTGGTTTCAGATTGTCCTTGTTAAATACTACAATTCGATATGTGGTACACTCAAAACGGATAATGGGTGAATGAGAAATTAATTTTCGAAGTTCACTCGTAGGAATGAAGAAAATAGGAAAATGATGGGTTTCTAGTGTGTTAATTTCCCACACCGGAAAACTCAAGGGACTTTGAACCCCTTATAAGGAAGCCTCTTTTAAGGAGTTAAAATTCCTAAGTGAAAAGACTCTCTTTGCGAGCAGGGGGTGCTAATCAAATCCCAAAATGAAGAAGAAAAATCGCGACTTGCATGCGCGGTTGACCTGCAGACACGAATGTCGTCCGAAAATCTATCTCTTAAAGATGAATTCATAGATTGCATGAGCGTTTATGCACCTCGAAAAACACGTCTAGCATTCTGAAAACATCCCTTCTTGTTCATACTTGTTCTTGTTCGGCGGAACAATTTGTTTTATTGCTCAAACAATTGTTCGTAGTCATTTTGTCATGGGAAACGATCGTTGGAACGCCGTTTGAACTCCGTTTTTCTTGAACTCTGTTCTGAACTCTGTTCTAAACTCTGTAACTATTCATCGTCTTCCTCAAGTGTTTGAATTCCGTTTTTCTTGAACTCCGTTTTGAACTCCGTTACTATTCATCATCTTCTTCAAGCGTTTTTAACGGCGTCAGACATCAGGACCCTCTTTGATAACGGAGTTCATACACATGAATCACTTTGAGAAAAAATAAAACACATGACCTAAGAGGAAAATTGGCTCAATCACAAATACCTTTTCTCTACTTTTTCCTTCCATAAAAATGCACGCAATTTGGTAAATAAATCTATGTTTTCCACCACCATGAAAACGTGCAACAAAACATTGATTAGTGCATTGCAAAAGTGACCCTGCTCGCACTTTTCACGGAAAACACCATTCTTAAGGTGGCAATTGCACTTCTACTTCACTATATTGCACAGTTATCTTCAAGAATTCATTTGAATGTCTTCCCGATTAAAGTTTTAACTGAAATTGGATATGAGTAAACTAGACTTAATGAATAAGGTGCTCAAAAAATTTCATCAAAAAAATCCACTGGAAACCACCCCAAATGGCGACGGCTTAAGGACTTATTTGATCCTCCTTATGCAATTACGAGCACCAATATGACCATTTACGCATATAAAAAGGGTGTGGTTTTTTTAGTTTCATTTCATGTTACTACACTTTTAGTTTTAGTTATCTCACTTTTTACGTTGAAAAAAATTAACTTGCTAATAAAATTAAT